AATTATAAAAGGTTCTGGTTATAAGAATTGAAATTTGTGTTCAGGTAACATAATTTTGGCTCAAAAAGAATCTGAGTGTATTTAGAGATATATTTTCCCAGTTCTGTTGAAACATGAAAGAACATGTTTTTCATCATCTAAATGATGTGCTAGGGAGCTGGGATAACTTTTAGACAATGTGCAGTGATAGACAGAACAATATAAAACAATATCATCAAGATTTATTACAGTGTGACTGAAAACACTTCCAGATTTGGAGTATTTTTGTCTTTAGTTAGATGTAATTGTGAATTCTGGACACAGCTCTTAGTAATATTATTTGTTATTCTAAATGAGAAAATTCTTCACTATGTCTTATGCTCACCGAACCACTAACACAAACAGGCAAAGTCTGTTTCTGATCTTATTTCAGTTGTTGAGAATCAGTAAAATCAATGTGATCAGTAGATGGACACAGGCATAAGTTAAGTGAGATCAGAATCCTCATTTCTGCTAAAACACAACTGTATTCCTTGCAATTTTAGCATAATTCTGCCTTGAAGTCTGCTTAACTTTTCTTTTGATTTTCTCTGCCATTCCACTAGAAAATAAATTCTCCTGTATTTAAGATAATTGGAATCACTGACTGTAACATTCTGGGATAATCTCTGTCTGGCACCCCTGGAAACAAAGTACAAACCTTTTGGCCTAGAAAGAAAGTAAAACAGGAAAGATACCATGATCTAGACTTTCATCCAAAGGTAATGGGAACTGGTAAGCCTCATCCATAGAAAGAGCTGTTATGGCAAGGTGACATGGAGATACTGTGAAAGTTTGCCTGGCCTCATGTATAGACCATCTCTGTGCTCCAAGAACACTCCAGAAGGATTTGTTGAATTTTGGAGACTACATTGGGACAGCCTGGGTGTTCACAAACTGGTTACAATGCCATTACAGTGAGGTTCACCTGGAAAGATGACTGTGCTGAGGGGATGAGAATCTGGCCCCATGTATTCCCAGGTTTCTTTGAGTGACTTCTCCTAGAAAGAAGCTGTTTGGTCTTTATAAAAAAATGGCATCTGACAGCTTAGAAGGAAAAGCTGTTTCTCTTCCCATGCCAAAATTATTAACATTTTGGACAGAAAAGTACATTTTTATGATGAAGGTAAGAATTTATTGGATACTAAATTATTTGTTAAGTTCCAATGATGTGTTGGAGCCTGACAAGCATTATAGCTTTGCTGTCAATTCAATTACCCTACACTTGTGGATGCTGGTTTAATTATTTGTTGCTGGTTTAATTAAAAGGCGCTTAAATCAGTGCAAGTTTTGTCCCTGATGTCAATGAGATCAGTTACAGGTCCAAGTTGTCTTAACTCTTAGCGTGATTAACAAAAAGCAGGTCTTTCAGAAACGCCATCACTCACAGGCACACACAGTTAATCTTGGGATATCAGAGTCAAACACAAGGGAGCAACAAACTCACAGATTTTTTGTTATTGTAAACTGAATGGAGAATGTGGCCTTGAGCAGCTGAAGTTAAATGAAAAGACTGAAGGCACAGTTTAGACAAGACCACATGAGGCAGAAGGAACTTTCAGGGAGATATGAGATAAATAAGAAGTGACATCCCTCCAGTCTTCTCTGCTGCTCCTCTCCCCTCCAGCCATACATGGAAGAGTGGGGTAGAGCTGGGGGCACCAACCATTGCTCCTTTGTGAGACCCCTCACGTGGGCAGAGGCTCCACTGAAAGCAAATTGGACTTTGATTCCTCCAGTTCCCCAAGCCTGCTTCTGAGCCCTCAGTGCCTGCATATATGCCACAAATACTTTTCAGAGGAAGAACGAACTTGCCTAGTCCCTCCTAAAGATCCTGCTTGAAAGTACAAGACAGTGTCACTGAGCTCCTTTGAGCACAGTCAAACAATAAATGTCAGGAGATGGCTTAATTTAGCCATCCTAAATTGCTGTCAGCCTGAGCCTGAACTGAGAACCTTCTTCTCTGCCATCTTCTCTGACATCTAACGTCTCCTTCTGAGCCAAACATTGGTTTCTGTGGTTTGTGTTGGATTGCGCCTTCTGAAGGTCTAACTACAGCCATCTCACTGCAACCTTTTTCATCACAGAGAGCAAGCTTTATATCTGCCAGAGAAGCTGGGTCCACCTGATTTATTTGCTATTTCCCTCCAATCCAGCCACAGTCTCACCAGATAGCCGTACGAATACATGTTCTCCAACACAAGCTACACAGAAGAACAGGAATATGGCATCAGCTGTCTGAGGAGAGGAATGTGCAGTCAGATGTGTGAGAGGACTTTAAAATGCTATTGAGGCAATGACATTCCTCCATATCTTGTCTTCAGGAGATATTTGAACAGAGTCACTATACCTTAGCTAAAGAACAGAGATTTTTTGGAGAATCACGTTTTATGCTATTTAATTATTAATTAAATAATACTTTCAACAATTTAGCAGTTAGTGCTTAGATGATGAATCCCCAAGCAAGTGGATAACAGCAGTCACTGTGCACTGGGATTTTCTGAACAAAATCTGTACTAGCCTGATTCGTAAAAAGAGGAAAATACAAAGTGCCCTAGAGACATATTCAAATACTCAGATCACCTAAATATGAACACTAGTTGGATGGGAACTGTCTCTGTGACCCTCAGCAAGATATAGAAGATATTTATTCCATCTATCTCAGTTTGCATTTGCATGAAATGGGAACAGTATTGACTATGAAATCAGCTACCACTAGTTTGTCTGCTAACATTCATCTGGCTCTTTGAAGATAAAGTGATCATTATTAGTAGGACATCTCACCAGGAATTTCATCATAGATTGTGCATTTTGTTTCAAGATGAAGACATCAAAATGCACATAGGATAATCAGAGCCTATTAGCATATTTTAAAGAGTTTTTCCTTTGCCTGCAAATAGAATAGCAAATGGATTTTCCAAGCCTTAATTACACAGGGTGTCCCATGTTCTATTTCAGTAAATGTATCTTTTTGAAGATCCTGGATTGGGAAAATACTTACGGCATAAAGTAAGTTCCAGCCATGAGAATCACTGCAATGAAATGCAAAAGAAAACAGATTATAGATTGCTCAGAAACAGAGTATGTGTCCCCTGAATTTCTCTGAACACGCTCCCCCTCTTTGGTGGGCATAATATGTGTGCTGATAACCCCAGACACAAGCAACAGCAGATGTCACATGCCAGAGACGATTTGCTAATTTACTCAAAGATGGTACCCCTTAATTCCATATCTAACTACTGGGATGGCTTTTTCTTCCTTCATACTGCCACAAATAGATTGACAATACTCAACAGTCTCAAAGGCAAACTTAATGCCATAAATTAGATATATGACGAAAGAGGTCATTTGGCCCCTGGCTCTTTTCCATTCCTCCACAAACCTTCTGGTACTCCTTCTAAGCCCTGGGTGCTCTCATTAGTTCCTTCCCATGCCACATCATCCCTTCCCCTTCCTTATAGCTTCAGGTGACTTCCACGTCTTGCTCTCCCTCCCGCTCCCTATAGATTCCTCTTGTGCCCTACAGATATTGCTGCATGACAGAATGGCAATATTTGCATGGTGGATAAGTGACCCAGGTGCATGGTGACTTGGGAAAACTTACTGTGAAATCAAATTAATATTTCTCCAATTTTTAATTTTCTTTATTAACAGCAGTTTCATGTGCCAATTCTGGCACAGATATCATATGTTCACCATCATGATGCTGGACTTCTCTTGAAGGAGGAAAAAGTAGTATCACCCAAGATCTGCTTGCTGAAGCATGAAAATGAGACATTATTCATGGATAACTGTTCATGTTTATGATCCAGCTCCTCCCTTTCTAACAATAGACATAAAAGGGTGAACAACAGTGATACTGGAATTACCAACACTGGGAATGTGAGTTACAGCAAACTGGGAAAAATGGGGCAGTTCTTTACTCACCTGTTGCTTCAGACTCTCAGCAGACAGCAGAGATCATTGCATTTGCTACATCCCACACTTAAAAAAATACATATATAAATACATATAATTTTTCTGGACATTTAAACTGCTTTAGAGTATTAAGAATCTAGAGAACACGAAATCTTATAAATGTGATGCATTAGCACAAACTAGTGTACTTTCCCATACACACATGAAATTTGACTGTGGTAACTATCAGGACCTTCTGGCTGTTCTCCTCGTTTCCTTGCATACAGATTTTAGTGTCTCTCTCTCTTTTTACACCCATGTGAACAAATATGAATAAATGTTTGTGTGTCCAAATATGGGTAATAGTCTATGGAAAGTGAGTGCTTTATCAAGGACAACTGAAGAACAGGATTCTGCTTAGTAATGCCTATGTGTATTCCTTCAAAAGGTTCAAGCTTAAGCAATGAAAACCCTTTAAAATAATTGGTTTTATTCAGATGAACCAACTGGGATATCACCAGCTAGGCTTCTCCTGAGGCCACCCGATGAGTAAACCAACAAGAAATAGAAATGCTTTCTTTATAGGATCGGGGTTCTCTTGTTCTCAGAGCTTTTAGTCTTAATACCACGTCAGAGCCACCAGCTTCCTCAGCCCCCCCGGTACATAATATTCTTTCATCTGCCTGGCTGAACAGCAGACCCC